ATATTGAATATTGAAAGCATTAATTATTGTGTGTCTTGTCAAAATGGGTTTATTAAAGAAAATACTTTTTTCTTTAAAATGATGAGTTTTCATATTCAGATTATCTTATTAAGAGCCAAAAAAATTAAATTCAAAGTTTTATCAAAATATGAAAATTTAATGAAATTTTTAAAACACAAGCAAAATGAATATTTTGGTTCAGATTGTTTAGAGTGCTAAGAACACCAATTTATTATTGTAAGTTATGTCCCTTAAATTAATTCAAATAGAAAGTGAAAGTGAAAAATGTTCTGATTGCCCTCAATTGATTTAAGTATGTGTATCTCGTTTAAAAAAATAAAAATTACAGTATTTATATTTATCATATTAGGCTTATTAACAACAATATATAGTCACTAAATAAAATGCAATTTTCAATGAGAAATGCATTAAACCTTATGCATATCCAGCAACTTATTTTGATCCATATAATTAATTTTCTGGATATTGTTTTGATAAGGAATGTAATGACTCTCTTTTGGTATAAATTCTCATACTAATCATGTGATTTTTCACGATTTCAAAATAAATAATAAGAAATAATCAAAACTAAATATTGCAATCAATTTGTAATATAGAATATAGATATCTATTTAAAGTTTTTAGAGAAATTAATGGGTATATTATTATGAAAGAATATATTACTTAAATAATGATATAAATAAAAAAGAAGATAAATAACAAGAAATTATATTTAAGTTAGTTAAGCTTTTACTTTGAAGGAATTTTAATATCTTAAAAATTCTTTTCAAAAAGATTTTGCTACTTATTTTATAGATATTTATGACTATATTAAAGAAGAATTAGTTTAAAGTCTTATATTTTTGCTTTAACTGTGTTAATGAAATATTATGAGCTACCTAAAGCAAAGCCTTGAACTTAACCCAAAATTTTTAGCATATTCTACCAATTTGCTCATTATATAAAGGATATGTTACAAAATTATTAAATGTAATACTTGGACTTTTTGTTAGATATCTTTTTGAAAAAAATAAAAGAAAATGTAGCTCTAAATTTCAATCCATTTTACATTATTACAATTATTAAGGACTGAAGCTGATTTTTTCAAATATATCAGTTTATTGTTATTAATTAAAAGACCATAAGTAAAAGAATAATAAATGATGAACACTACATCATCAAGAATTTTTCATCTAATATTATTTTATTTTATTTTTTGAAATATTACTCTTTAATCTATATTTTAATTCTATATTCTTTTTCCTCAATCCTTGCATTCATCCGATTGATTTCTCAACAAGCATAAAATTATCAATCACAAGCAACTCCAAACCTTTAAAAATTCTGGTCCTCAAACAAATAAGATTCTTTTCATTTTGTAGTATAAAACAAAAGTTTCAGTAATAGATATTCAATAATTATTTTAAGAAAAAAAAAATGGATGATCCCGAAGATCTCTCTGAGATTTTTGCTTAAGTGCAAGGTGTGGATAAAAGAATATACTCTTTGATAATTTAGATGCAAGAAAAATAGAATACTAGAGATTGGATGGGATTTCTTTCAGATTATGAAAATCTAAGACATCTAGAAGAGTAGATTTTACAAAAAGAGGATTCAACACAAGAAGAAAAAGAATAAAGGATGGATGTTATGAGAAATAACATCAAACTAATTCTTAATGTCATTGTAAAAATTAAAGATCATGATTTTAATAAATAAGACTATTCTGATTAACGATATTTGGAACAGAGACAGGATCTAATAAAATGTATAAGAGAATAAAAGTAGATCATCAGATTTCTGAAATTCTTAGCACCACTCAGAGCCTATGATGAAAATTTAATACAATGTGGATCAAACTCACTAAAATTTATTAGTTAGTATGAAAGTGGACATTAGAAATTAAAATTTTGAAAACATCAGAATTAAGAATATTTCTTTATTCGGAACTAATTTTTTAAGTGCAACTTAAGCGGGTCATAACTAGATAATGTAGACATAAATGGAATGAATTTAAAGGGATATTTATTGCTTAATTGGGCGAGATAAATAAATTAGACGGCCATACTGATAGTGTTTATTCAGTATGCCTCTCTCCTGATGGAATTATATTAACATCTGGCAGTAATAAAAAAATTTTTTTATGGGATCTTAAGACAGGACAATTTACATTAGCATCTGGTAGTAATAATACAACTATTCGTTTATGGGATGTTAAGACAGGATAGTAAAAGATCAAATTGGATGGTCATAGGAATTCAGTCAACTCTCACCTGACGATACTATATTAGCATATGGTAGTAGTGATAACTCTATCCGTTTTTGGGATGGAAAATCAGGAAAAGAAATTCAATCTTAGGATAAAAATTATAAAGATATTTATAATTATTTTAAGACTCCTTTTATAGAAAACACTCCTCATCCAGGTTTTAATTTAAACATTTTTAGGCACTACTAATCTAAATATTTAAATGATATCCTAATAAGCTATTTTTAAACATAGGACGCTTTAATCTTGAAAGGAGAATTTGTTAATTAATAAGGGATTAACTTATTGCCCCTATTTAGACAAAAAGGCTGTATTTTGGAAAGCCAGTTGGACTCAAATTAAAAATGATTATTAAAATTTCCATTACCAATATTCAAATTACGTTAAATTTTTATCCTATCTTATATTCATATATAAATTTCTATTTTTAATCATATATTAAATTTAAGTTTTCTTAAAATCCTATATACTTGCTGAACAAAAATCTCTTTTACCATGTTATCTTAAGAAAACAACATTGATTCTATTATAAATGAAATCAAATATTATTTATTTTTTAAATACCCAAAGAGTAGCTTTCTTAAAAGCAGCTACTTCAAAATAAATTCATCATGACTAAATTCTATAGTTATAATTCTATTCTAATTCGTCTCAATAATGGTTAAGTTTAAATATTATGAACACTTTTGATTTATAGAACGAAATTATTGATAGTCATCAAATTTACAAATGAAAAAAATGATTTGTAAATGGATGCATTTTTAATTTAAGAAGAATAAGCAATTAAAGATGATTATATAAAATAAGCAAAAATATTTTGAACATAGTGAGTATCTAATAACAATTTTTCATCCAAAATTTATATTAAAAAAAAAATCATTTTGAAAATATAATTAAAATTAAAATAATTTTTTAGAATAAAAATAAATGATATTTCAATTTTTCTATTTAAGCTTTGATGAAGAAATAATTGCTTTATGAATGATTGTATGTAAATATCTATTTTGGAAAATCACAATTCCAAGATAAAACAAAGAAAATATTTTTAAAATTGAAAGATCTTTTGATGAAAATAAAGTATCTGAAAAGAATTAGTTTGGGTTTGTTAATAATAAAAGCGAAATTATGTTATTATTTTCGATATCACCTTTAAACTTTAATTGGAAAAAATAAAAAAGACATCAGCTGTATGACATATTTGTCTTAATAAGAATGGTTAGCAATATGCACAGATGAGTATATATGATCTTTTGGAATGTTAAAGCAAAAGATGGTTGGTATATTAAAAGACTTTTGTAGAAATAAGTATCAATTCAGTTTCATAGGTTGGTAGCTCCATGATGAAAATTAATAAAACTCTGGAAAATTAAATAAATGAATCATCTAAAGTATAAATACATTAATATTCTACTAGTGCACTGATTGTTCTGCTAAAGCAAATTTAGAAATTTGATTCATGATTATTAAAATCAATAAGGTACTGAAAAGAAAATAAACTTTACCTTGATACACATGAATTACTAGTGGTTTTTCATTTGACTTAATTCAAATTGCAATATTCAAACCTTAATGGTTGTGTTAAAATTTTTGATAAACTATAATGATATAAAAAAAATATTTAGCTTGTTAGTGGTCATAGTCGAACTGTCCTATCAGTCTGTTTCTCTCCTAATGGAAATACATTAGCCTCTGGTAGTGCTGATTAGTCTATCCGTCTTTGGGATGTAAAAACAGGATAAGAAATTAACTCCCCTAATTAAATCTACAAAGATAGTTTTGCATAATTTAAGATTCCACTCCAAAAACAGAGCTATATTACCGAATGTACTATTTATCTCCTATCATAATTTTAGCTTCCAATTACATCACTACCCTCTTAATATCTTAATCCGCTATATTCTAAGCATAAGGAGCACTTGTTCTTAAAGGAGAATTCATTAATCATCAAGGCACTGATTTGAGACCTTTATTGAAATCCAAAGGTAGTTGCTTTTTGGAAGACCTTAAGTAACAGTGATAATTATTATTTATCAACAACATTACAATTATTATTTTAATTCATTCTTTATATTTTTTTAATTATCTCTTTTTTGGCTTTATTCTTAATTTTGATTTCTTAAGATTCATACAAGTTTTTCAAAAGTATTCCATTTATGGAAATGTAGGGTATATTTATTGAGATCTCCTTAAAAAACTGATATTAATTAGCATTTATAGAGATATAAATATTAAATGATACTACATTAAGAGAACAGTAAATAAAGATTAATTTTAATTACTTAATTGAAAGCTAACTTAAAAAAACTGCAAGATTATTTTATAAGATATTTTGATAATTTATTTAATTTATTAATAAACATAAGTCTTAATAGATATAATTAATAATTTTGTATAATTAGTTTATAAATAGTAAAAGATATCTTTAATAACAAAGATAATAATAAAAAAGATATGACAAGGATGAAAAAATAAAGTTAATTTTATATTGTAAACTAAATGATATAACAAAGTTAAAACA